CCATGAAACTTGGAGGCCGTCGTCACTTGTGGTCTATCCTGGACGGCATCTGGCCTTCTGAACAGAGGGTACGTCAGCATAAAAAGAGACGAGCCTAAGATAGGGTCGTATACGTGTGCCGTGCCGTATCAGACATGTGAGCCTGATTCGAGGCCCTACAAACTGCTGCTTGGAAAGACGATCAAGACTGTACGTTGAGACAAGATCCTCAAGACCGTCAGTCTTTAGGCTTCAAGGGATTCAAAATAAAAGATCTAATATTCTTGTAAATTCAGAAGCGTGGCCAGTGACTTGTGTCACTGAAAGGGCGAGCAAGAACAGGCAAGATCAAGAACTGGGTCAAGAAGCACACACCACAGTAAGCGTCTTTAAATGGATGTTTTAGCGGTAGCTTCACGGTCGCTAGGACTGTCCTACAATATCTCCATCTCACAGCTACGAACAGGCAGAACAGCGCAGCTTTCTGGACACAAGCATACGTGCTGCGTCACCTTCGGCGAGACATGTCGTTGTTGAGATATAGTGACACGTTTTATTAGATTAGTTAGAGAGCATCAGAAATCGTATGCAACATGGTCTTTCCGACGGCATGCGCTCTCGAGTCTGCAATTACGACACGTCTCGTCGAAGGGGAACAGTGTTATCACATCGGAATACTTTTCGAAGATCAAGAATCACGTGAGTGTCAGGATTGAATTGGTGCGCCCCAAAATCAGGCCAGGAGTGCAATGAGGAAGATTAGTGAGGAGAAAAAGCAAAAAGCACCATAGAAAACACTAAATTTCCCTTAGGAGGCCGGCCGTAGTACGACGGAGAGACACAGCGCTGCGAGGAGAGGGAGAACGCGAGATAGTACGTCCTGCGCGAGAGGGAGCAGAGACTACGCACACCGTCAAACTTGTAGCTCAGTTTCAAGTTTCGAAGACCGGGAAAAAAGTGGAGTGAAGTGGAGTAAGGGAAGTCGGTTCGAGAAAATTCCAGATGGGAGACCAAGTGTTCGAAGGGAAGGAAGTGAATTTTGGTGTGCGGAGCATGCCCCAAAACAGGCGGGGATTGCCGCCAAACATATAAGTCGGCTCAGAGACCGAGCTAAAAGGGACAGTGGTTGACGAAGGAGGGAAGGTCAAAAGCCATCGGTGGATGAGGCATGGGAGCAAGCGGATAGAATTCAGCTTAAAGTCAAATATTCGTAGTGTATTGGGCCAAATTCGAGAATTTACGCCGCACCATCCCATATCGCCGCAGAACTGTGCTGTGCGCGCAACACTGTGCAACGCCCAACACTGTGCAGCGCCAGCTATTACTCCAACTCTAGAACCTTTTTTGGCCTTCCATCTTCATTACTCCCATTTAGAATCTTTCCAACGCTAAAAGACATAGAGGATCAACCAGCAGATAGGATAGAGTACGTTCCCTCAATCCATGGTCACGCATAGACAATATTTTAGAGATAGCAGAGGTATACCTTTAGATGAGCAAGCACTCCAGCTAAAAAGAAAAAAAATTAAAGCTGAAAAATAAATAGAGTGAGCCACTATCCCTCAATTAGTGACTCACTTTGGATAATTTTCAGCCTAATTGTAAACAGTTATGTGCTACTTTTCGACTTAGGGAAAGGATTTCGTCATCTCGGATATTGTTAGTCATACAATATCCAGCGAGACGACTGTATTTCATCATGTCTTACATGGCGATAACAAACATGTTATCGAAAAGGCATCGATGTTTACGATGCCTTCGAGAGATATACCAGTCCAGGTTCTTGTCAAGTCCAAGAGTTGACTCCCGCCCGCCTCAACCCACTTCAATTTCAGGCCGTTATGGAAAGAAGCAGCGAAAAGAAAAGATATCCGGTCCTGGTGTGAAGACAGCGAAAGTGGCATTTACGGGTGGCAGACGCTATTAGACATTCTCTCTCAGAAATCATCGATCCAATGCCACGTTCAAGGCACATTCGATCAAATGTAAGAAATTCGTCCAAGGGTGGGGAGAAGAACGGGTCAAAGATCTTCCGATATCGAAAGCAAGGAATCTGTTCTTAGCTCACTGTGTCGATAAAAACCAGCATATTTCACTGCCCATCAATCCGCGGCTCTTCACATTCTTCCTAGGAAAACAGAAAGAAGCAGATAAGGATATAGAAACATCCTTGTTGGATAGCGGCTAGAAGCAGAGCACCCGTGAAGCATAGGGTCAAAATCACTACCGCTGTCGTATAAGCAAAATTTCAGTGGTGACTCATCTCGATCCCAAAGCCTTCTCCATAGTTGCATTGACTATACTGCTTTTCAGAGGCTTCCTTAGAGTCGGTGAAGCCGTAGCATTGAAGATTGCTAAACTCTCTTCCGCTGAGGGTGCATATTCCATAAGCGTCATCAAGTCAAAAACAGACCAGACACATAGAGGAGCTACCGCGTCATTTTTGATAGCACCAGACTCGAAAGAGCATGCAGTTTTACAAAAGCAGATAAAAATATGCTGCACAATTCAGTAACAATCATCTATTCCCATCAAAATCAACTAACCTACCCCTCAGTATATCCACCATTAACTCCCGTTTACAGCAACTATTCCTCAAGCGGGCATGGGTAATAAAAACTATACTACGCATAGTTTCCGGGGTGGGCCGCATCTGCAGCTTTAGAGCAGGGGTTTGACAGTACTCATGTAATGCAGATGGGCAGATGGAGATCCCTCAAAGCTTTTCAGGCCTATATTCGTCCGATGGCTGTCAATCTGAATATATCCTAATCAACGCGATGTATGGGAATAAGTTTTGTGACACACTCTTCTTATTTTGTGTATTCCTCAGTTTTCGCCGATTTGTTAATACCATACTTGCCCAACATGACGTGACTGACGTGCCCAATATTCAGCTATTGAATTTGCCATATCCATTGTATGCATTACAGGGTTCTTGAACGATACTCAATACTGTAAATAGAATCTCATCTTTACCTCTTACTACTTCACGAATCTGTGTATCACCATCACATATCTCACCTCTTATGACAGTGCAGTGCCATGTAATGCGAGTATAATCGTGTCTTACCTCACATATTCACTTACTCAGTTATGTATATTCAATGATGCCGCCTTATACGTACGACAGGACAATAAACCTTCTTCACCACCAATATTCTTCGCCGGAGTCGAAAAGTGTTTTATACCGTAGTACAAAGTACGTAGGTATAAAAATTATTTCAGACGGTTTTGTGAAAAGTGAGCGTTTATTACTCACTGATTATTCCGTATGAACATAGAAAAAGATCATGCTTCGGCACACCCGCATAAGCCTGGTCGCTTCAGCTCACATTGCATAATTACTTTTGTAAAAAAAACTCAACCAAAAACCTAACACCTTTAAAACTTATAAAAAATGACGCATAAATAATACATAACACAGCATATACAGTTATATTTACAGTACATACATAATACCGTAGCAATCTCGGGTCTACGATTAGATCCACTCAATGCATGTGATAGTTGTATAAAATTCATCATAGCAATTTCAATATGCCACGTATGCCACGCCCAGTTTCCCGGTAATTTATGACTAGTGCTACGAAGAACCTCGTTAAAAATTGACAGAATGTGACGAAGTGGAATAAACCGAACAGGACTGAAGCTCAAAGCGATAAGCAGTCTCCCTTCCTGAACATGCCTCCTTTTCGACTGTTATTCGGAACCGTAGCTGAATTTGATTGCGTATAAGGCGAGTACAATGCTGGAGATGGCTAATGTTTAGTGTAGAAAATACCCCATAAATATTACTTTCACTTGATTCATGTCACCCATCATTGTCGTCATCCTGTACCTTGAAACAGTACACTTCACGGTGAGCTGCTACCAGTCAATCAATGGGGAGAAACTTCCCATTCGCGGAAAGAGGGTATGAATGCAGATATGGGAAACTAAGATTTTCAACATCTCAGACATTTCACTAAATTTTATAAAGCTCTTCCTATATCTCCAAACGTCACCTCAAAAAAAAACGTGCTAAAGTGGTCATTTCAATAGCATCGAATCCCATATATGGCACTTCTGGAACATTCCCGAACGATGTTGCATCTACCCGGATGGGTTTCTCCTACCCTTCTTAAAGGAATCCTTCACGGAAAAATCATGATTCTATTTCAGCCATAAATCACTGGCTTGAGACTCATTATCCACGATAAGAATGAAAAGAACAGAAATATTGCTTTTGTTTTGGTAAAAAATTCGAAAAATCGAAAGGGCTGCTACGCGTTCAAAGTGCCCACGGACGTCTTTCACAAATGCTGGCGACGGGGATGCTTCCACTTGGTTCTTGGAGTGCCTTCACTAGAAACTCTTTCTGGCCTTCTGCTTTATTGCATTCACATCTTACACTTCTACTCCATCCTATTCTATCGATCGATTTGTCTCTACTCTCCGAAATCGCGCGCTTTAACCCGATTCTTTCATTGCGTCGCCCGTAGCCGGCCAAAGGCCAACTTCTTTCCATGCCTCGCCTTTGGCTCCGCCCGAATTACCTTCGATTGTCCATAAGAGTGTAGTTTTTGTACGTTTGTTTCTCTTCGGAAACCGAATCTTCATGCGTGAAACTTTGTGTGCTGTTTCCAGTGATCACAACTGACACATTCATGTCAAGAAAGAGTGCAAGAATTTTCCGCGAAGGATTCCTTTAATCATGATTGCTAAGGAGAAACCATATAAGGCTGTGCGATACAACAGTTTTTCGAGTGAAACTGCATTCACATGTTCCTTCAAACTGCAATGGAAGCTGAGTGCTGGCGCAGTTTAGTGATTCATGAACACTGTTTTCTCGTATGTTATGTCATATATGTGTGTTGCACAAGGCAAACTTTTGAAGATTTATTGTGTATGTAAAGCAAATTTGGTAAAAAGCATTACATTTACAGTATTGGAAGAGATCGTCTGCACGATTATCTTACATAACAATAGTAGACACCTGGAATAGTAACGAAAAGAATACATCTCGTTTATAATCACTGTCAATTCACAGCCTTTAGGATCGGGATATTTCTGGCAGTGATGGCAGGTTTCGGCTTGGGCACCTCAATGGCCAGCTGACCGTTTTCAGATAGGGTGGATCGGATCTGCTCGACGTCAACATCTTCTGGAAGAGTCCATCGACGAAGGAATGACCTGCAAAAGAGGGATTCAGCGATTTCATGGAGAGAGGGCGAACCTCTGGAGTTCGAAACTGTAGACTTACCTGCTGGTGTAATTTGAACCTTCAGTGATTTCTTGCTTGCCTTCAATAGTTAGAGTTCGGCCATCGATGTTCACCTTCAGTTCATCTGGCTTGAATTTCGACACATCCAGTGAAATCGCCAGCTTTGACCCGTCATCGGTAACCTAAATCGGGGTTTTACTTGCATTGCGAGATGTAAGAAGAGCTCACCACGGAATTGCTGTTGAAACTTTCACATACCTTGCCCAATTGTCCCGTCAGCGCTTTCTTCTCTCTTTTTCTTCTGTGACAACGAAATGGTCGCTCATGCGGAACGAGGTCGTTGAAAGCGTCATCGATCTCGCTGAAGACGTCGTCGAGGAGGTGGGGCAGAATCGCCGCTTCCCTGGTCCACGGATGAATGCAGATCGCCATAGTAGATTGCCTTGAAGATAAACCTCAAAGTGTTGGAATAGCCGTACTCAGGGCTGCTTATATACCATTTGGAAAGATTCTTCGGGAATCTTCCGGAACATTCGCGCTCCTCCTCTTCACGTCACCGCGCCAGCGATGAGTCAGCCAGGTGGGCGGGGCCGCACGAGGGAGCGAGGCGCTGGAAAAAAAACGACAAACACAGATCGCTCTAGAACGTTCCCAATGTTTAATGCTCCCTTATTTTGGATTGAGCTATAACCTACTCTTGAGTGACTTTTCATTGGCATCGTTTACATTTACCATCATCTTGTTTCCTCTCTGTACTATCGCTCGTCCGTAAGACCCCTACTAGAGCGCTATTTCAGTGACTCATCAACAAATCGATCATTTGTTTATTAAGCAACAATGGTCTTGTGCATAATGTCTTGCCTAATAAAAAGAATGATGCATGTAACTGTGAGAGATTTCGATATTCAAAAGAGGTATTCACTCATATTGGCGAGAACAGATCACTCGGTGCTTCATGTACAATAAAACATAGCGGGTACCCCCAGGAGGCCCGTCGCGCGGCAAGAAGGCAAAGTCAGCGGACGAGTCGCGCGCGTACTATAGGGATTTCGCGTCAAGTTAAATAGAGTGTCCCATTGCACGTCCTACATCGCACATCACGCGCTGCAACTCGTCCGCCGACTCTGCCTTCTTGCCGCGCGACGGGCCTCCTGGGGGTACCCAAGCATAGCATGTGCAAATAGTTCTGTCCACAAAGCCAAGAATGGCCTTGTATTTTTTTTTCCAGAATACATATTAGTACGTAAAAAGTATAGTGCATGTAACTGTGAGAAATTTCGACCGTTTCGAAATAAGGGATTTTCTCACATTAGCGGAAAGACCATTCGGTGCTCCATTTAGCCAGCGAAGCTTATTGCTAGCAGGTACATACAATAATTCCGTCCGCAAAGCCAACAATGGCTACATCTTTTTTACAAAACCCATATGAAATGCAGATTATGATCGACGATAGGATTTCGGCGTCTCCTTAGATGTGCCACAGTTTCGTAGGAGGTGTCGTGGTATACCACGACTTTCATCCATTTTGCATTGTAGATCGCATTCCATTTGTATGTCTCACATATGTTCGATTAACATTTCCCGACATTCGTTTGTAATGTTTCTGTTCGCAAGAAGCCTATATAAGAGTGTCGGTGTAACAATATATTCGATTGGGAAATAAAGGATACCACCGAACGATCACGTCAGGAGGTGAATGTGCATTACCTAAACCTGAAAGTGGTTACTACCCCAAAATGTGACCTAGAGACCGTCCGTACTCAGCTTGGCAACAAGGGCCATTTGTCTGTGGAAGCGCCGAAGAACAGCCGAGGGCAACGAGAAGATCGGAACCATTCCCAATATGACCGCTCTTCACAAAATGTGAACTGGCATGATCTACACCTCCGTAAAACTTGAAGTGCGAATAGTTTTGTTGTGTATAAATTTGCAATGTGTACCAAAACTAATTCTATATTTATTCGTCTAATTCACCACAGCTAATCATATTCATGGTGCGATTTACTGATCATTGGCGTAGTCGGCTGGGTTCTTCCGGCCAACCTGATAGTTCTTCTTCTTGGCCCAATCGTAAAGCAGATAGGCGCCAATACATTGTGGTAGGTAGTACGGCCACTCATACCAAACATAATTCTTGAAAACCTTAATCAAAACGATTATAACGAGGATACACATAACATTCAGAGATTAGCTCAGTAGGAGTAGATAACAATACTGAGGGAAATACCTTTACAACAGCTTGGTCCAGGAATCCCTTGAACGCCTTTTGCTCGTTCGGCGCCAGAGCGAATCGGTATTCACCATACATCTGTAAAGCACACCGAAAATTGGGAAAAATATAAATAAATAAATAAATAAAGAATAAGAATAAGTTTACTTCAATCTCCATGAGAGCGACTGCTCAGGCCTTCTCGTTAGGAAAAAAATTCCAATTGAAAACTAAACACTAGGGCAACCACAAACTTGGGACTAAGAAAAATTATAAAAAATGAAAGATGAATGAAAAAGATCTTCACCTTTCCGAGCGCTCCGAAGTGCTTGCTCATAGAAACTGCGGAGGCACGCATGTTGAGGAGCTGTACGAATAATACAAATAAGGAATAAAAGGAGATGATAAACACAACGAATCAAAATCAAGTGCAAATAATGGTAAAATAAAGGGTGTCAAAACCTTCGCAAGACCGAGCAGTCACAACTTTTCCCGATAACCATTTATTCAAAAATCTACGCTGATTTTACGGTTCTTTACTACATTTGAATCAACCTATTTGCTGGCTGCGAATCTATCAAAACGTTCAAGACGAGCAAGTTCCCGATCTTCCTTCTGTGTCTGAAGCTCTTCCTCACGTGTTCGCTTCCAACTCATAATCCAAACCCGGTGTAGGCGCTGGTAGAACCAAAATTCGCAGATGGTCCTTTGTTCACTTGAACTGCATCGTGTTGTCTAGAAAAATATTGGTGACATAAAAAGCACAGAACCAGATATCTAACGAAAACGGCAAAAATTTAGTTCCCAATACTAAAATATTATATTGTAGCACTAGAAACCAAGTAAAAAATCATGCGAAATAATTGCCGATTCTTGGTGAATTCTTTTCATGAAGGAGCGAGATTATTAAGGAATTTGTTCAAGAAGCGCCTAAGATGGGGCCAAAAAAGAGTCACTTCCATTCACATTCAAAGCAGAACTAATTACACTTTGCCAGAACTAAACCGGATGGGCTCAATTTGTATTGAAGAGCACAGTCTATTCTATCAAAAAAAAATTACATAGGGGCTTTCTACACCAACAACATCAGGAGATTTTCCCACGGAAACATGTGCACGCGGTACGAGCTCAACGGGGTCGTCGAGAAACCATAGATGATTACGACGTCTCTGAAACGCTGGTCAAAAGCCATTTTGCATAGTCAGAGCTAGTGTCTCTAAGAAGTCATTCACCAGTTATCCGATTGAAGAATTTATGTAGCAGCTTCAGAATGGAGCGATTATTGTAGGCCTCCCTTACTCGACGGTGTGCAGATGACGATCATATCTGAAACGGTAAGAGGCCGCGATCTAAGTGGCCTGATTCGCATCTATGAGAAGACATCGAATATTTGCGTTCTAAACTCCATAACAGCAGGACATCTCTTGGCGACAAAACTTTGATGATATTCGCCAATTGACAAAAGTGACTTTTTTTTGCCCCCCCCCCTGTGTACTTTACTTCCCCCTTCATTCGTAAAATGTGATGTTACCCAACGTAATCACTCAACAATAAGAATTCACAAGTTATGATGTAAAGTGGATAAAAAAGAAACACAATGAGCTACTTACGCGAGGACTTCACCAGTGTGTGTTCCGAACTGTGCATGATGTCCATCCGATAAATAGAGTGGTTTCGGTGGCTTCACCTCTCGACGACCATCCCTAAAAATGTCATCGGAAAATAAAAAAAAAAAAATAGATGAAATAAGGAAAAAGTTAAAGAACGATGGATGAACATCAATACCTAGTGTAAAATAGATTCTCTGACTAATAGATGAAATTCTCCAGCAACGTGGATTCTCTGCTGAACCAGGACGAGCGTTTGTGTATTCGGGTGAACGTAACGCTTAGATCTACAGACTATAATAGATGGAAGTCACAATATTCGTTTTCGCAGAGAGCAGAGAATGAAAGGAGTTGGAGGGTGGGGGAGGGAAAGGGATGAAGCGGTAGCATATGGGAGTAATGAATGAAATAAACAAGTACGGCTGGCGAAATGGGAATTAAAGAAATATTCTCAAAACAATGATTAAATAAGGAAACCTGTCTCGCTGACTAAGTATAAGTAGGTGAGGTTAGCTGAAAGAGAAAGGGGCTTTTGCGCTTCTCGCAGCTCGAGACTTTTTGCACTGCTGAAACCCCAGATACACCATCAAACAGGAATGGACGTGGGTTCTCCAGCGAAAGTCTCCCACTGCAAATAAAGAGAGTCGATTTCTGTCCTAATGCTGGTGTCAGAGTCACGCGAATCGCAAAAATCGCAAGTGAGTCTCATTTAAACGATTGAAAAACTGAATATGAACGTGGAATAACGAAGCATCGTCAGTCGCATCCATTCACCATCCCCCACAAACAAGCGAAATGGCGAGCGTGCTTAGGACGAGCTCAGCTAGTGCAGAGTCCGCGATCCGTCGCATTTCGCTGATTTTCGCGATTTGCGCGATTCACGCGACGGGTCACGGAAATCACAAGTGCCCGATCAATACTGCAAGGTGTTCTCCAATCCTGCCGCCACTTCTGCTTGATAGTGATGGCTGAATGACGACTGCTCATGATTCCACTTGTTTCATATTCAGTGTTTCAAATGTTCAAATGGGGCACTTGCAATTTTTGCGATCCGTCGCAGGTTTCGCGCAAATCGCGAAAATCGCGTGAAAATCAGCGAAATCTGCGACGGATCGCAAAAATTGCAAGTGTGTGAACATTTGAAACACTGAATATGAAACAAGTGGAATCATGAGCAGTCGTCATTCAGCCATCACTATCAAGCAGAAGTGGCGGCAGGATTGGAGAACACCTTGCAGTATTGATCGGGCACTTGTGATTTCCGTGACCCGTCGCGTGAATCGCGCAAATCGCGAAAATCAGCGCGAAACCTGCGACGGATCGCGGACTCTGACAATCACCTTAAGAAACACCACGTGTAATTAGGGCAATAGGTTAGGCGAACTGTAATAAAATCTATCAGATAGAAGGGCACCTAGAAAGCAACGAGATCTGAGAGTACATAAGAAAGGGTAAGAAGTCCGTGAAGCACAGCACGATATTATTTGGAGGCGCTCACAGCCTTGGGGGACAGGCCCGACTTCAACTGACAGTAGTACTAAAGCCCAGGGGAGAAACGCCAAAATGAACACAAAGTGTACTTATCCTCCCCAAAACACCTTGTCCACTCCCAGAGCTTTAATCCAAGTAACTTAAGCGACCCACTAATATTCAATGTACCCCCAGGCCACAGGCGCCTATTTGGATCGTGACCTCCAAGAAAGTTGACTGAAACGAAACAATGCTAATAATGAAGGAAGGAACAGGCATAGAACAAAAAAAGGAGCGATGGCCAAAATTAATGCATGCCCATACATGAACATGGTAAGAAAGCGAAGCTCACAAGATTAAGAATCAAGCAGTAAACGAATAAGAAAGCAGAAGAGAGCGCCTACGTAGAAAAAATATGAGAAAAATTGACCTGAAATTTTGAAAAATGTAAATTTACCTTTCCGTCAGCTGTTGGAAGCCTGGAGGCGGCGTGATCGGTAACCTATCTACAGCGAGCAGCTTATTGCGCACCCATCGCCAAAACGGCGTCTGAGTACGGTTCTGTACAGTTGCGGCCGCGATCTTGCGACCGCTATCGGTGCTGAAACAGTATTTTAATAAGACTGAAGGAACAATATGAGTGTCGGAACATAGCTTTCATCCGGAAATGAAATATATACGTATCGCCTATCAATTCTGCAACAAAACGACGGCGTATGTGTGATGGATACGTCCACGAAAAGAAGACGCAAAGACGCAAAGCATGAAACCGCAAATAGCGAATACGAACCTCAACCACAAGAGTAAATCGAAATGTTTTATACGCTGAAACTGAAAAGCTATGAAGGTGCTGTGATCATACACGAGTCAGAAACAAGTAACGAGGAAGGTTTCAGTGAAATGCCAGCTTTTCTCGGAGGTTTTTTGCATGATTTAGGGGCAACGTGCATGGGACACAGACCTGTTATCCATTTTTCCTGAGCGGCCCTCCGAATACCAAAAATAGCGGGTGATGAAGTGGTCCGTGGTTCGAATCCTCGCAGTAACAGTTTTTTGCATTTTGTGCGGGTATTTCAAAATTCGCGAAAATAGTGTCAGGGAAAGAACTTATATCATATCTATAATTGGATCTATCAGCAAACCTTTATACGTAGACTTTGGCTGAAAAACTGTGAAGAAAGTTAAGAACGGCAGTTCCTCAAGAAGTTTTTCTTAGCTCCTTTTTTGGTATTCAGTGTCGCAAAGAGAAAATGAACATCCGTTCTGCGTTCCTGCCACATACCTTCTACATCACAAAAAGCGTTTTCGAGAAAGCTGGCCAGCGGCGCGGGCATGTTCACTACCTACCTCGGCAGTGTGGAGCAGGATTCGTTGAGCAGTGGAAAGTGCGCACCCCTCCTCCGAGCCATAGTGAGAGCAAAACATACAAAGAGAAATTAATGGAAAATTCTCGAATGCTTGACAACATTGGAAAGCTGATTAGAAAAACATGGGAAACATCGATTAAACAGATATTGGTAGATGCACAAGCAAATGGGAAGAAAGTAAAAAAACGAGAAGAAAAAAGAAAAGGGGCATAATTTCAACGTGGAAACTCCAAAGAAATACATTAGAAAAGTAAAACGTCCTTGGTAAGGGGAATAAGTGAAGAGAAAGGTTGAAAACTCTGACCAAACTTATCAAGGTCAACTACACAGTGGATTTAAATTCCTTGTTTACATTTTTACTTATGCTCAGAGTTCCACAGAGAATTAAGATACATCAGAAACACCAAACGAAACACAAGGCTTCCCATGAACGCACTGAACCGTCACATTCATACAGACCAACTTGCACAGTTGATAAGACTGGAACTGATATGAAGGTCGAAAAAAACTCAGAACACTACTTTTCATCCAAGCAATCGTACATTGAAATGGGTTCCATTTCGCTTCGCGAGTCGAGTTACAGATTAACAAGAATTTTCTTCGCTCGCGAGTTACAGATTAAACATTGATTTACACTTTTATTACACACGATGATTTCTCGTTTGGGCGGTTGTCTGGACGCAGACCGCCATAGCAGTAGAATGCGCGTTTGCGTGTCGTCCCAGTTTTGACGTTCGTTTGTAGCCCCGTCAAAGCATTACATCTGCTTTCAATCTGAGGTTACTGCAGATCTCTAGCAATTCACCTGTCTCCTTGCTTGGTCAAAAGCATATGAAAACGGGTTGTGGAAATGAAAAAAGCTTGAACTAAACACAATTTGCTCCTATCCAAGTTTGCCCCTTTTGCGGGGCTTACATTTCCAGATATTCTTTATATTCAGCATCTCATTCAATGTGGACCCATTAATGTTTCTTTCATCATATAAAACTCAAGCAGATAGGATTCGAAGAAAACACGCTAGCAGTAATTTTATCGCCGCTAAACGTACACCGGAAAAAACTCAGGACGAGTTCTCCGGACGAGATTTTCGCGCTATTACGGTTTGAATTTCAGGTTACTGTATTGTTCGTCGCGGGACCAACGGCTCCAGCCCTCCATTGTCGATCGATGAGGGCTTTTTTTCGTTGACAAAGGATGATTCAACTGTGAGCGATGCTATTTTGCTGCGGATTCCTGCTGTTCTGCTGTATTCGGGCTTCTGTTCTACACTGCTGTATTCACTGCTACTGTATTCTTCAGATCTACTCTGCTTAAACCCCATTATCTTCTGTCTCCCTCAATAAGATTTTCCCCAAGTTCGCCCCTACCTCTGAATTCCTCTGTTTTGCCCACATATTCACTTCTTTATTACTGCGGCTACTACTAATCACTGAAACGCTGATCTTCTGCCGCTGCTAACCAACGTGAGTTTATATCTTTTGTGAAATAACTTTGGTCGCCTTCTTTAGATTTGCTCTCCTTTGACACCCTTGACAGATTTTCCGTTTCTATCTTCACTTCGACATCTAATTTGGTTTTCTCCTTGTTTACATCAAATTGCCAGTGTAGGATTGAAAATGGGTGGAACGATTACGATTCCAACCCTTTTCATTTTTGCGCTGGCTGAAGAAGGAATCATTTTTAGTCTTTTCGTCGTTCTAGTTTCTCAGAAACATTTTTAACTAGCAATCATCCAGCCCCGCGCCATTACTTCTGGGCTAATATTTATATAGTTTGCTGAACTTTCAATTCTTCACGGCGGAGTTCGACTTTCATCATCCTTTACTCCAATTATTTTCATTGACCTAGAACACTTCTCTACTCTATCTACTCGGCTATCCGCCATGAGCCAAAACTATCTTAGACATGTGCTGTACCAGTTAGCGCTGATTAGCATGTATCTGCCAGTCTAGGTTGATGTCACGATTGATCTGAAGTCGGAATCAGCCGTGATTTGCTGGTGTGCTAAGAGGAGTTTGGTCTTTCCTTGAGTTGCATAAAGGACTAGACGAAGGCATCGGTTCTGAAAGGTTTTGAAAACATGCAACAGTTAAAATATACGCCATAGAAAATTGGTTCCACTTACAATATCGCAACCCACTCTTTCTACCTACTCGTAGAAAATTTCCAAGTTGGGAATAGTTTACCACTGCACATATATTACCATGCTGACACCACTTTCCGATATTGCTACTCTTCCTTCTTCCAAATTATTTCTAAATTGGCTTTGCCCAATCAAGAAAGGATTCATTTCTGATGTCTTGTACTGTTGTTAGTTTTTATCGGCTGATCCGACGAAATATATTAAGCACATTATAAGGGAAATGGATCCCTACACACTCTTCGATGCTCCTGTCTTTCCATCAAAGGAAGTCAAGGCAACCTTGTTTCTCACATGAAAGATGTACACGATATTTCTCCGACGACAGCTAAAGGAATGTTAGCGCAGAGGAAAAAGACTGAATTGGAGTCCCAAGGGAAGCAGGTGGAAATCTGCGAAGTTTGCGGAAGTGTTTTCACTACCAAAAGAGGGTTGAGGGTACACGCCAGGTCCAAACACCCCGACCAAGCTGACGTTGAAGAGGCTGCGGAAGAGGAGGTCCACACCACGGCGGTTCAGTGCTGCCTTTGCGAACAAAATTTCAATACACAGGAGAAGCTCAGTGAACACTGTGGGCTAGAACATTCTGAAGAAGGAGCTCTTGGAAGAATCCAAGACTATACAGTACACAAACTTTCTTTCCCGAATCCGGAGGAATACAAGGTTAGTAATGGCTTAGACCAAACTCTTCTTAGCACACCAGCAAATCACGGCTGATTCCCGACTTCAGATCAATCGTGACATCAACCTAGACTGGCAGATACATGCTAATCAGCGCTAACGGGTACAGCACATGGTCTAATATAGTTTTGGCTCATGGCGGATAGCCGAGTAGAGATAGAGTAGAGAAGTTTCTAGGTCAATGAAAATAATTGGAGTAAAGGATGATGAAAGTCGAACTCCGCCGTGAAGAATTGAAAGTTCAGCAAACTATATAAATATTAGCCCAGAAGTAGTGGCGCGGGGCTGGATGATTGCTAGTTAAAAATGTTTCTGAGAAACTAGAACGACGAAAAGACTAAAAATGATTCCTTCTTCAGCCAGCGCAAAAATGAAAAGGGTTGGAATCGTAATCGTTCCACCCATTTTCAATCCTACACTGGCATTTGATGTAAACAAGGAGAAAACCAAATTAGATGTCGAAGTGAAGATAGAAACGGAAAATCTGCAAGGATCAAAGGAGAAGCAAATAATCTAAAAGAAGGCGACCTAAAGATTTATTCAACAACAAAAGATATAAACTCACTGTTGGTTACAGACAAAGGCAGAAAAGAATCAACGGTTTTCAAAGTGATATATGTAGATAAGCGCAAAAGTAAAGAAGAGATGAATATGTGGGCAAAACAGAGGAATTCAGAGGTAGGGGCGAACTTGGGGAAAATCTTATTGAGGGGAGACGAAGATAATGGGGTTTAAACAGAGCAGATCTGAAGAATACAGTAGCAGTGAATACAGCAGCGTAGAACAGAACCCGAATACAGCAGAACAGCAGGAATCCGAGTAGAATAGCATCGCTCACAGTTGAATCATCCTTTGTCAACGAAAAAAAGCCCTCATCGATCGACAATGGAAGGCTGGAGCCGTTGGTCCCGCGACGAACAATACAGTAACCTGAAATTCAAACCGTAATAGCGCGAAAATCTCGTCCGAGAGAACTCGTCCTGAGTTTTTTCCGGTGTACGTTTAGCGGCGAGTCAGTACGTTTGCCGTCAAAGTACATATTAATTGAGGTTACCGATCGCTAAACCATTCTACTTGAACGCAATACTACAGGTTACTCAAAAGTCTACGAAGAAAAGAAGTCAACAAGATAGTTAATCTATCCAAGTCAGTAGACTTTCTCGAAACAGTTAATAACAAAACAAGATACCTCATATTCTGCCTACTGGCTCATTTTCATTTTGACACAGTTAATGTCAAAGCGTCAAAAAAGAACTTCCACAATATAGAAGTTAGCTTCAAAAGCAGGATTTTCAACGAGATACCCTTCAACATTTCAACCCATCCACATAATGACCCAAACCCCCACAATACTTGATACATTATACGAAGTTATACGTCAAAGATATATTGCTTAAGAATAGAAGTAATAC